TGACTATCATATAATGAGTTATTTTTCGTAGTTTGTTGCACTTAAGCAGCCAAATACACATGAAATGACGTCAAAATGGCCGTTCTGGCGTTTCTATCCTCGTAAACACTGTCGGTTTTGTCTTAAGTGAATGTAAACGGTTGAGAAAGAAAACACATCAGTATTGGATCCATACATTGTCTTGTGACAGCAGCCTAAAGCTGTGCCGTCTGTTGTTTAATCTGTTTTTAATTTACAGTTTATTCCATTTTCTAATATTTTTGTACTTGAATACTATAGACCCGAGATGGTTTCCAAAACGAAATTCAGGTCCTGAGTTTAACTGATAATATTGGTTAAACAAATTACAATATTCAGTGATGTGATGATTTGTGACCCTGGAGCACAAAAGCAGTGTTAAGTCGCTGGGGTATATTTGTAGCAATAGTCAACAATACATTGTATGGGTCAAAATTATTGATTTTTCTTTTATGCCAAAAATCATTAGGATATTAAGTAAAGATCATGTTCCATGAAGATATTTTGTAAATTTCCTATTGTAAATATATCAAAACTTAATTTTTGATTAGTAATATGCATTGCTAAGAACTTAATTTGAACAACTTTAAAGATGATTTTCTCAATATTTTGATTTTTTTGCACCCTCAGATTTTCAAATAGTTGTATCTCGACCAAATATTGTCCTATCCTAACAAACCACACATCAATGGAAAGCGTATTTATTCAGCTTCAGATGATGTATAAATCTCAATTTCATAAAATTGACCCTTATGACAGGTTTTGTGCTCCAGGGTCACATATGGGACGGGAAAACAACAGCAACAACAAAATAAATATCACTGAATGACTGAAATGCATGAAAATCAGCTGAAGCAGCAAACGCAGTTTAATTAGAAAGTAACGAGGATGTAAACGCGGTCACTGCTTCTGTGCGTGAGCGTTTGTCTGTGTGTAAGTTTAACAGAAGTATAAGGTTACCCCAGTGTTCCAGATGATTCCTATGGATTTGGCGTTCAATCTAAATAACATATTTCATAGCTCTGTCAGAGGGACGTGTGTAAACACACAGCTCCTGAACAATGACTTCGCTGGGTTTGTTTGACTTGGAGCTCACGGCTCTCGACCCCCAGCACAAGTCTCATTATGGCCCAACACGGCAGGATGGGGAGGAGGTGTGTGTGTAATGTGTGACTGGCACGAGATCCTGCACGAAAACACCCCTCCTGACTTCACTGCCTCCCTCTGTCCTGCTCAGTGTTGCCAAATGCACGGTTTTCCCGCGGAATTGGGCTGCTTTAATGCTCAGTTCACACTGCACGATTTTAGCCCCGATTTTCACTCGCCGACAGGTTTTGCGAAATCGCCGACAAATTGCCCGAGGCAAATCGGTGCTCGTTCATGCGAGTGACAGTCACGCAGTGTGAATGATCAAAGACGCGATCTGAGAGAATTAAAATGCTACTGTGTGAAATGAGTTCTGACTGAAGAATACATCGACAATAACCAACAGCCAATAAGAGAGCATGATACAGGGCAGCGGGAAGTTCGAGGAGGACCTTTTTTTTCAGTTTTTATTATTATTATTATTAAGCAATTAGCCATATACAAATATCAGTACATTTTTGCATTAGAATGTACAGAACGGCTGCATGAAGAAATATATATATATATATACCGTATTGACCCGAATATAAGACGATGTTTTTTTTCTTGGAAATACATCTGAAAAAACGCGGTCGTCTTATATTCAGGGTCTAGACTTTGACATGTCAATAATACACCCACAACACTAGGTGGCGCCAAATACGCATAAAACGAGTGTGCCATGAAATACATAATGTAATGCGTGTTGTAAAGATCGCGAGTAAAAACAAAAGAAAAAGAAAACCTCACAGCTGCACAAGTCGTGACTGTCAGGTTAGCCTGATGGGACCAAACTCCCTTTGTGATTTTAAAACGTAAGACAGTACCCAGATTTGAAGACTACAGTAAGATTTAACTTCTACTGTTAATCCTATTATCTTTGCCTCTTGTCACTTACAGCAAATACTTAATGTTTTTTATCCCAGCTTTCATTTTAGATTAATTGCTTATCAATTAACTTAATATAAATTCAATAAACTAAACAACTTAATATAAAACTTAAAAGGTCAAAATTTGTATTTTTATTTTAACAGCCCTTGTATTTTCACTGATTATTTTAGACTTTTAGAAAATATTTTAGATTTCAGAAAATGTATGCATCACCATATATACAGTTGTGCTCATAAGTTTGCATACCCCTTGCAGAATGTGCAAAATTTCATAATTTTAACAAAATAAGAGGGATCATGAAAATTGCATGTTATTTTTTATTTAGTACTGTCCTGAATAAGCTATTTCACATAACAGATTTTGATATATTCTCCACAAGACAAAATAATAACTGAATTCATAAAAAATGACCCCGTTCAAAAGTTTACATACCCTTGAATCTTAATACTGTGGCTGTGTGTCGTTTCCTGGACGATCCACGACTGTTTTTATGTTTGGTGATAGTTGTGAGTCCCTTGTTGGTCCTGAACAGTTAAACTGCCTGCTGTTCTTCAGAAAAATCCCCCAGCTCCTCTCATTCTTTGGGTTTCCAGCATCTTCTGCATATCTGAACCCTTTCCAAAAGTGACTGTATGATTTTGAGATCCATATTTTCACACTGGGCAACTGAGGGACTCATACGCAACTATTACAAAAGCTGAAAACATGTACTGATGCTCCAGAAGGCAACACAATGCATTAAGAGCCGGGTGTGTAAACTTTTTGAATTGGATGATCAGGGTAAATTGTACTTATTTTGTCTTCTGGGAAACATTTAAGTATTTATGTAGCTTTTGAAGTACCAAATGAAAAAGATATGATCGTTAAACAAAATAATAAAAATGTACACATCATCATCCTGTTCAAAAGTGTTGCCTTCTTAATATATATATATATATATATATGTGTGTGTGTGTATGTAGTATATATATTTTTTTACTTTAATTTTAGTTAAAGTTTTAGTAATTTTGTTGAGTATTTTTGTCATTTTTATTAGTTTTTTTTTTTTAAATGTCTATATAGTTTTTATTAATTAGTTTAAAAAGTTAATAATTTATTTGTTGCAGTTAAACTTAACGAAAATGTGAAATGTGGCCTTGGCAACTATAGCTGAAATAAAAGTTTTTTATATCTTATTTTACTGTGTTTATAGTTTTAGTTAACTGTAATAACCCTGGTTCTGAGTGGTTTTAGCATGTCACTAAGTGTTGCTAAAGTAAACAAGGGTTGCTAGTTGGTTTCATATAAGTTTATTGTATAGGCTTGT